TCAGCAGGGGCAGAGACTGAATCACTGCAGGCTCCTCAGCTTGCAAAGACTTGACTGAGAGGGGATGAGATAAAAGTCTGTAAAATCATCAGTGATATGGAGAAGGTGAGCAGGGAAAAACCGCTGAATCACTGGTCTCATAACACGGGAAGTAGGAGGCACTTGTTGAAATTACTGGGTTTAAGACAAACCCAAGTGCTTTTTCATACGGTGCATGATTAGACCACAGCACTCACTGCAGGAAGTTGCGGAGGCCAAAACCAGAAGTGATTAAAGAAAGTAATTGGACAAATTCACTGAGGATAAGTCTATTGCAAGCTATTAAAACTCATGATCTAGATGCAGTCTCTGGTTTTGGAGTGCCTCTATGCCTGGGAGGGATGGATATCTTGCTACAAAAGCAGTGTTGTTCTTCCTTTCTTGTCAGTTAGCCCCTTCTGTTTCCTTTCCTCTTTTGTCTCGCTTGGCCCAATTTATATAATTGTTTAATCTAGGCAGAAATGACATTTTAAAATCCTTCAATTGCTTGGTCTAGGATGAATTGTCCTAATATGACTACGACAAGAAATACATTTAAAAAAAAAAAATAGACCTTAGGCCAATAATACAGCAGATTTCACCAAATGAATTTAGTCTCATTTCCCATTGGCCATCTTACCTGCGTTTGCTTTCCACAAGTGATTTAACTTGACTAGCTAATGAGAATGCTTGTAAAGGCTTTTTTTTTTTAAGTTTGCATACTTGAATATAGACAAATAATCAAACTTGCTTTGTTGAAATCTCTCAGCTCAGAAAGGTGATATCCTGGGTTAGCAAAGGAACTGGAAACAATGTCATGTGACTTCTGTGAGCCGACACCAAGGCCCACGTTTTTAACGCTGTGCCCTAATGCCTGCTGCTTATTACTGAATAACATATGAAAGATTTAGTCTATAAAAATTCTGAGTGCGGCCAGGAAAAGAGAGAACAGTAATTCATGTCTTAAACTTCTTTCCTCTTCCCTTAAAAGCAACTCAAGTACCCCTGAAAAACAAATAAAAAATACCACTTTTCTGATACTTGCTCTTATCTCTTAACTTGCAGTTATCACAGAACTTACGTTGCAGTCTTTAAGAATAAAAATAAAAAATCCTTTGGGGGTCGGTTATGGTCAGTGGTACTGGTACTCTTGGCAAGATCATAGAGAAAACATTAAAATAATCATCAGCAGTATTGGCCTATGGGCAAATTCCTCCTAAGTGTCTCAGTGTACAAGTGAAACAGGAAGAGATAAGACGGGTAGTGTTGTTTCTTCTTTTCTGAATCTGCCAATATGACCCTCTTTTTCTCAGCTTCTCCAGTAAAAATAGACATGCTCCTGGCAGCTGAACTTTCCAGGGCTGTGGTAATACCCTGCTTCGTAATTCTGATGCTGTAGGTATGCGATGGTCTCTGTGAGCAGAGCAGAACAATCATGTGTTTTGCTTTTCTTAACAATGTGCGTGAAAGCTCAGAAAAGGTCTCTTCCTCTTAATATTGTGGAAAACTTGCCCTTAGTGCGGTATTTAGTAAGGGAAAACGGTCCCCTGTTTCAACGATCGACGCAGCTTTGGAGTTCAGGATGTTTGGCATCCATTCTTCCATCAGGAGTCTTCTCCCCTTTGAGAGTCTTCTGCGTTTGGGTTTTGGCAGGAGGTGGTGGCGGGGAGGTTTGTCCCCCCTCCCCCCCTTTTTTTTCCTTAAAGTAGCTTTAAACTTGTGTTAGGAAGTTAGGGAAATAGTCACGCCGTGTACTTACTGAAAAATCTAAATGGAATGGCACAGATATCTACATTATTTTCTAAAATGATATCTTACTTATCTCTCTAAGAAGCTGGTGCACTAAATCTCAGCTACGCTTCCACAATTAACTGTCTCTGAAGTCCTGAAAAGCATTAAAATGCATAACAGCAGTGTTTAGCCTCACTGCTCATTAGAGCAGCACAGAACTAATAGTAATATTGTTGTAACTTGACAAAGCCATCTAAATCCATGCATGTTTTCTTGTGAAAGCTTCCTAAACATGCTGCTAAATCCTCTAAAAAGCTACTAAACGGCTTTGGCAACCATTAGCACAGCATAAGCAGTGGAACCCTTTTCAGTAAGTGAACAAACAGAGAAAATATGCTGAATAGCTGGACAAATGTGTTTCAGCTGGCTCTTTCATTTACAGATATAAGGGAGCAGTCAATATCAATCACTGTTTTCCCTGTTGCACTGGAAATCACAATATCTCTTTTCATTCCACAAGCTCTTTTCACCACAGTAATGTGTCTTTAGAATGACACTGGCATCAGTCTGTTTCCGCTGTCTGAAGTCCAGAGAGCTTAAAAACACATTTCAGGGTATGAGACCTTAACCCGCCTCCCCTTCCACACACCCCTCTCCTTCTAGCCTTCCCTTCTGAATTAATTGTTTTTACTTCTTTCCCAGCATAAAGTTTAGAAAGAAAAGTGCCCGCAGAGCCTGGGAATATCTGCTCCTGTGCTTTGGGGACAGGCAAATGTATCGCTGGTCGTTGGGTTTTTAATTTATCAGGTGTTGCAGGGCGTTTAACACAAGGTAATATGTGATTATCAAGTTAAAAGTAATTTGCAACATACTGTTATGTGAAATGTAATTTTACTGTGGTTTGGATTTGGAGCTATATCCTGTTTCTTGGAAGTGCTAATCACCCACAGCCCCATTTATTAAGAAGAAGGTTGGGGAAACTCCGTTCTTGTGAATATCTGGCATTTGGAATATGTTCATGTTCTTGTGCTGGCTTTCTTACTTTCAAATAATAGATTTTATAGTAACCATACTAGCTATATGATGTTTTTATTGTTTATTTACAGATAACAGCAGTCTGTAGAGAAGCAGCCCTTCTAGCTCTTCAGGAAGATATACACGCCAAATGTATAATGGGACGGCATTTTCGGTATGCGTTGACTGTTGTGACCCCAAGAATTCCTGATTCGTTAATCCAGTTTTATGCAGATTATCAGCAGCAAAGTGGACTACATGCGCTTTGAAAGGCAAATAAATACATATGCCCATTCAGAGTATGAATAGCTAATTTCCTTTGTAAAGTCTTCAAAAGCTAAAGAATTTTGTATTGTAAATGGAGTGTCTGAAGTTAATTCAAGTGCAGAATCGTCATAATAAACACACATGTGGAATTACTGAGTGCAGTGGAAGTTGTCAAAGCTTTGTCTTTTACAATTTAAATGGTATAAGATGCTTGGTTAAGTCAGTGTTTCTGAGTGTACAGACCTGCATACAAAAACAATTACCAAATTCTGAATTTTGTGGTGGATTCTTGGCCCTGAATAGAGCAGCAACAAGTGTCCTTACCGTCTTCATTTGTTTGTGCTCAAACGCTGGTTTCATCCCAGGGACCATCGCAGCGAGGCACAGACCTGGGGAGTGGCTTTGCTACAAAAATGCCGAAAATTATTCTGAATCTTTTGATTTATGATCTCTAGAAAAGCTGCCAAACCGGCTTGCCGAACTTACAGCTTTCTGAGAAAAAGCTAAGGTATCCTGACTGATTACAGAGAAGTGTTTATCTTTGCTCTTAAACAGCTCCGTTTTACACCTACTGTAAAGTAGGCGCATTAAAAATTATACATCGCTAGGCTTTCTATGTAATTCAGAAAAGCGAACTACATCTAAACCTTGGCTAACCTGAAACCATCTCCAGGATTCAGGGCAAGATTTTTATTGTTTTTTTCTTCAAAATAAATATGAATATTGACTGGTAATTTAAAGCTGGCCACTGAAAATCCTAATGAATCCTAACTTACGAATAAGAAAACCTCTTTACAAAAACTGTTATAAAGGACCCCAGGATACTTTACGGAGGCATGAGATCTTTTGAACTTATTTCTTCATCATTTCATCTGTTGAAACAATGGCAAATCAGTATAGGCCCTTTACTCTTGCATTCAGTAAGAAAACTCATTAAGTAGAATTATTTTCAACATTTTTCCCAAAAGTGGAAAGACTGAGCTTTTTATTCCAGCTATGAAAATAGAGGGAAGATAAAGCAAAACCAGTATGAACTTTCACAAAAAATTAAAAAGGCAACAAAAAACTGAATTTCAGTGGCTACTTCTGTGTTTTCCAGATGTTTTCTAGCTAAGCAGAAGAATTTACAGCACAACATTTTAGCAAAATCATGCTGTTACCTGATGAAGTCAACAAGAAAGATCATTTCAGATTTTAACATATTTAAGGTTTTTTTTGGATTTATTTATTGATAGTTCTGAAGACCTTTCTTTCTTGCTGAATTTATATATCTATTTTGAGAGATTTAAAACTGTTTAGCAATTTAGATTTTTTTATGAGAAATTGTTATACATCTGTCTATGAGAGATTATATTTATTTACATAATCAATTGAAATTTAAGCAGTAATCTCCTGGCCTTGATTATGATTTTTCTTTCTTTACTTAGTTTCTCTCTTTACTGTATAGTTCTTAAGAGTGTAGCTTTTAAACAGAAATCTACTATTTTAAAATTATATCTTTTTTATTACTTCTGCTTTTAACCTCTTGTTGTTAAAATTAAATTAGCATTTATTTTTACTATCACTGAAAAGGATTAGAGGATGAGGAGAAGCAGGTAGTTTGTAGTTTACTTATTCTGATGCTGTTTGTTGTATGGGCAGTTTCGCTCTTTTTTCACTATTTGACTCTTTTTTACAACAGAAGGAGGGAATTAAAGAGTGGGCTCCTGTTGACATCAAAGGGAATTTTGAACATTGCATTTTAGGACATTCAGAGAGGATGCTGGCCCCTGAATGCTGTTGGTGCCTTGAAGAAAAAGAGCATCCCTGCCAACATTTATCTTCTCATGTCCCATGTGGTACCAAGTCTCTTGATACATATCTACATGTCTGAAGTGAGTTGAAGTTTAGGAAACTTCCTCTTTTATGGCTGAGTTTGTGGAATAGAACTGAATTTTACTAAAAAAAAAAAAAAAAGGCTTCTAAAAAAGTTAAGTTATGGCAAATTTGTGAAATCCCTAGAAGGTCTGTATTGCTCCCAAATATTCTGTCTGGAAGACTTGGCTAATGTAATGCCACTCCAAGTCTTACTCCATTCCAAGCCACAGACAATTTGCGATTTGAAGAAAGGTATGATGATTTCCCTTCTGGTTCCTGATGGCAGATCACTGTTACCATGGACTAGCAACTTGAAAGCGTCGTATCAGAATGCTGGAAAAATAATCAAAAATTCATATTGGAATACAGTTTTGATCAAAGCTCATGAGCAACGTAGTCCTTTCACAGTCATTTTGAAACCTGCTTGGAAAATACTACTGCAAACAGCTATTGCATATGGCTCGAATTTAAATGCCAGGAGATCTGAGTCCAGTGAGCGCGTTGCACCCTCAGACTCGCATTGGAATTTACTGATGAGGGCACTGTAGGACAGAGCACTTCAAACGCATCTTCCATTAAACTATCATTTAAATAAGTGTTTTTTTAATTCAGAGCTGAACCTTTCACAGCATGTTTTACTGAACACACTGTGCCTTGGCACTCAACCAAATTGCTTGCAGTGTAAGGCTATATAAGCCTGAATGCCTCTACGCTTCGGAGTAAATCAGAAATAGAGGTGTTCTTTCTTCTGCTGGGTTAATCACCTTTATTGTTGTTTGGGTGTTTGTGAGATTTAATTTTAGTAAAAAGGTAGATGCTTGGTGAAGAAAAAAGAGCATGTCTCCTTCCATCCTCTCCTTACCTCCTGAGGTGGTTTCTATACTTATTTCTTTACATTCCTTAGAAATACAGTCTTTTTCCTGCCTGTCATTATCTTTTGGAGCTATTTTTTGGACCAAATACTGCTTGAGTTGCAGAATTGTTAACATTAAATCAGCTTTTCAATGTTTCAGGCACATTTTGTTTAAATACAAAGTTTAACTTTTTCCTCCAATAACAACGTCTTGCAGAACGGCATAAAATGTCTTTGGACAGGTTTGCCAAAAATGACCAGGAGAATATTTATGATCAAAATGCAAAAATGTCTTCAGTTAACTTGAAAAAGAGTCTAGTCCTGTGTTTTCCCTAATGCATAAAACAGATTTTTCACTGCAAGTACAATATACAATTTCTTAATCCTGGAAAAAGAATGAAGCTTATTGTGCATAATTTTTCTGCAATCTCTAAATGAGAATAGAGCATAAGGTTTACTTAGTCCAGGTGTGAGGGAGAACATGAGGGACAGAATAAAGATTATTTTCAAAGCTTTATTCAAAATCATTGAACTTAGGCTTGCCTACCCTTTTGAATTTTGTGTCTGCAAAGTTGATTTTTCTGGTTTGTGTATTCTGGCTCTTAGCTTTTAGTTTCTTTGCTCATTTTAAGTGTCAAAGTGTGGTTCTTCTCCTTCAGAAAACAGGCACGTGCCAAACATAATGCTACCATAACTAAGCATCAGTTGATCAGCGCTGTGGGAAGGCTCTGCAGAGATGAGTTTTTCGAGTGCAAGAGGCTTCATACGCCATGCTGATGGGGTATGGATGAAGGTAAAGAGAAAGCAGAGCTGTAAAGAGCAGTGCTTTACTGTGTACAGTCCAGTACGATGAAGTTAATTGAGGAACGCTTGCAAGGTCCTGGGTAGGAAATTGTCCCTCCTTACTGCACCAGGCAGTAACAGACCTGTGAGGGCCAGCTTTAAATTACCAGTCAATATTCATATTGTAATCATTTTTATCCACTCTGAACCTCAGAATCTTTCACTTTTGCTGATGTGCTTTTTTTCCTACCTTTCATATGAAAGAAAATGCTGTAAATGACCTAATATTTGCAAATGAATAAATAACTTCTTTCTAGGGGATGCAAGAGGCATGCAGAATTGCAGGTGTATTTTGGGCATGCTTCTGAATGGTAGGTTAACACCTGGAAGAAAAATATCTCGGCTAAAACCTACTCCTAATCATGGATCTTGTGACTGCTCTTTCTGCAAATTCTACTTGCTCATTTATTAAACTTTTCTGTAGGAAAGTAAGTCATGCATTTTCTCCAGGGCTTTATATGTTCTGTGTTATACATTTTAAATTGTGTCATCTCTCTCTGCAGATTTTAATCCAATGGCTCCAGGGCTCTGATAGGAGAAGGAGATGTGTGTTTTCTCTGTTAACTAGTCGGCCAAGGATCTTAGCAGTGAGCAGGAAAGAGCCCCGGTCTGTGTTTGCATGGCAGACCTCCAGCAAGAATGCAGGTGTTGCAGGAAGAGGCAATGGCAACCAGATGACATTCTTTCCCCTTGAACTAGTGTAGAGCCATTGCTCAAACAAATTAAGGGTCCTTCCAATGAAACTTGAGGCTAGCGTGTTGACTCCTCGTGCCTGTGTAAAACCTGTGCCTAACCTAGAGCTTGGACTCATTTCACATAACTGTAAGATTAGAGGAGCGGAATCACTCTTGGTTCCTTTAGCAGTCGTTGGAGAGATACCAGAAGATGGTCCAGATAGTGATTTACGCCAGCCAAGGTCTGGACTGCCCTTTTGGAGGTGCCTGTCTCTCTAGAGACTAAAGGGGGACTGACACCAAGAGAGGCCCCTCCGCTAGTTATCTAGACAAGTGCCTAGAGGGGGGTGGGAGGAAATGAGAGCAGTAACTTCAGCGTTTTACCAACTTGTGCAAATATATCCTGTTTGGTTAAACAGTTCTGGAAATGCTTTTGTGCTTTTCTGCTCCTCTCAGTACTGGTGTCTGTGTGGTATGGCTGTGTGCCCTTAACCACAACACCCCTGATTTTTTTATCTCCTTTACTAACACAGAGGAGTTTTCACATCCCTGTTTGGTAAAGTGAATGCCTCTGCATCAGCAGAGTGTGGAAAGGGCTTTGATAACCTTCAAGGTGAAACGCTGTCAACTCTTACTTTATCCGGGAGTGGATTATCTGGGCTGTGGAGTAATGAGGTCACGTCTTTTCGCCACACTGCTGGCAAGAGCTTCAAATTTCACACAGGGGTAGCTGCTTACATCAAGCCTGCTCTGCTTAATGCTGTTTAAAGCTACCCCTCCTCTCTGTCAGCAAGTTTTCCCCAAACGGAGGATGTGAAATGCGTTCATATAGCCTCATTTGTATTACGTGTGAGGAATTTTCATGGTGTTCAGATTGCCATGTTAATTGAGAATTGGTTGGTTTTGATGCTGAAGTGCAAGATGCCAGTAATAG